GCAATACTCATGTCAAGCCAGAAAGACCGTATCACAGCAAATTGAACAAGGCGAAGGAAAGTATCTAGTAATCTTCGGTGTTCAATAGAGACCGAATAATCACCTTAATTAGCTTACGAAGGAAAAGTGAAGAATTGGCTAATTCACAATCTCCCTTGGTAAGATCTGCAGCCATCTGGCAGCTCGACAGAAAAAAAATTTATGATTTTGCCGAATGTGGTTTTTTAAGAGGCACGTAGCCTAAAGGGAAGCTTTTCGCACGCCCATGACACGGTGGAAAGAACCAGTAATTTGCCTGCCACTGTTTGAATCTCCATGCGCAACACTCAAAAGCGACACCAAATCAATAGGTTTTCTGATAGAAAAGGGTCTCAAGGCCAAAAAGTAACATATGAGAATTCTTACAAACTGACCGGTACGAGCTTTGGCTTTGTGTTAAGCCTATAAAACTGAAAGGTCCGCAAGGGATTTGGCCCTTTAACCAAATGTGAGTATAGAAGGGGAAAACTCATATTCAGTTATTCAATTGTGTGCTGTAACACAATAAGGAAGCGGAATGTTAATTGTTAGCTGTTTTTTCATCAAGGGAGTATGAAAACTCAAACGCAAGTGTAACATTCCCTCGTGATTTTTTTTTCGAAATTGCATGGAATGGTCTTATATCTTTTCGTGTTATTTGTGGGGTTGAAGCGAAAGAAAGTAGTTAGTGAGGCATGATGATCCACAACTTGAAGTCGTCTATACCTTTTATCAGACGTTTTTCAGGAAGGACGACGTCATATGGTAACACATATTCGGGTGATGCGCCTTCGATGTTCATTATGTGGAGCTGGCTCATTCTTCTGCACGGATTTACGCGTACATTTGATGGAAGGTCACTGTGAAAAACTACATCGTGCACCGGAAGGGGTCGTAAAACCTAACACAATACCATGCATGACAAAGGAACAGGTCAGTTAAAAGAAGTTAATGATGCATAAAGAAGTAAAAATGGGGGAGGAGAGAGAATTCATTCCTCATTCATTGTGTCTGTTGTGTATTTCATCTCTTTTGGATTCTGAGCTTATCGGGTTACGATTTCTGAAGGTACGCGTCTTTCCAACGCTGATTGAGATGAGGCTTTGGAAAACCATGAAAACTTCACTTTACGTTGAGATTGTGGTTTTCCAATGCTTCGTCCGGATCCAATTTTGAAAGCTATTGTGCGGCTTCAGAAATCCGCAGAAGAAAAACTCAAAAAACTTTAAAAAGCATAATCTTAATCATAAACAGCGTAATCCTTTGCGATTTCTGTGCTTACGTTCTTTGCTTTTCAAATATTTGCTATTCTCGAGAAAGTGGGAAGTAACCATAAAATGAAGTCATCCAGTGGTGGTCAAAGTTCTGGGATACAGTAGCAAGCACGCAGCTACCATCTAAGGAAGGAGATCGACTTTGGATGTCGAGAATAAACATGGTCCGCAACACTCGAGGAAGTTCGCGGTATTTGGTTCAATACGCGCAAAGCGCATCAGTTTTCTGTTCTCGTTTCTGCTGTACTGGGGCAGAGTTAGTTTGGCTTGTTTGGGTTGCGTCTGACTGCGTGGCTGTTATCTGATCCGCGTCGCCGTGACTATCTTCACAAAGCTGTAGCTACTTACCATTGCGTTCGGTATGGGTCTTCCACTCGTACGCCGTCAGTGTGCATACGTATGATGAGTGACTACATAATCGTACGCCTTGTTTTATATGTCTTCGAGAGTGTTACACTGGAATATTGTTCATCTCATGTCAGGACTTTCTTTCAATTTAACTTTCAGTTTTCTTGACCAGTTCATCTATTTCACTTGAGATCCCTTTTTTATACATCTTGCAAAGTCCCTTGGTAAAGATCACGCAAATATCTCAGGTAGTGAATTGGGCGAAGTTATGGTTTACAGATTGTATATAAATAGAGCGCTCTAAGGCTGTCTTGAAGGAGGATGGATTCTGGGTTGGGTGAACCAACCACAGTGGTTCAAAATTTTGAATATGTGCGATGACAGTAGTTATGAGCCCTGTTAAGGCGAGAGTGAGCACAGATGGGAGCATCAAAATAAGGTGGCTTAAAGGATCAAGGACAAGTAGTCCGTAGGCGGAGCATGCCAGGACGACATGAAGAACTGCTACCCACTAGGGATCACTAAACCTCAAATAGCAATAAAGTAAACAAGGAATGGATTTGTATCAGGTGGAAGGAAGTCCCGCAACATTTTCCTCCTGAATCTCCTTTTTTCCGAAATTTTCGCTGGTCACATTTACAACCGTCTATGGTAGAACATTCTCGAGGCTTTCTCTACTTGATTGATATTGGTGCTGCGTTCAAAAGTTGTTCAAGAAATTCCAAAAAACCCTTGACCACTAATAATCCGTACTTCGAGTCATTGTCTAGTACAAATGTCTCCATAATTCTCGATTGTTATCCACCAACACTGTCGGCTACAGGTTTGATGGAGATGTCGTTCACTGGCACAGCCTGTTCCACCAGCGCTTTCCATCTTTTGATGTCACTAAAAGAGGCCAGCTACTCCTTGCATTCATTGCGGGGAGAGCTATCACGGAAGCTCGATAACCAATTCAACCAACCAATTATTTATGGCCACAGTTGGGTTGTAGAGGTCTACGCTGTAGAACCTCTAAAGTTGGGAGAGGCTGTTTGTCAAAAACGCTGGTACCGTGACTTTTTTTCCATTATGACATTGTGAGTGAACATGTTGGGAAATAGACTCGTTAAGAAATTCTAGAGCTGAGACGTGATTTCTCACTTCATCTAGCATATTCACCTAGTCAGGCCACTGAGTTATCACCTATTCCTGACCTTCATTTATCGTTTTTGTGACGAAATAATTCAACTTTTAACCAACCCCGATTCGTAAATAAGGTCGCCTTCTTTTTTAACATATTGCGTGCCACGTACGGCCACAACGAAAGTAAGTCGCGGATTCGACCCTCAATTTCAAAAACTCATATTTTTCTTTGAATTGAACTTTATTCCTAATAATAATTCCCACAAGTACCTACACCAGTCCGCCATCGGTCGACAAGGAAACAAATGCCTCTCCTTCAAAATTCGGCAGGCTTCGAGTCGAAGAAGTGCCCATGTCCGCTTTCCAACTGTTGAAAGTTGTCGTAGTTTTTATCCTTTGAGAAGTGAGCCAGGGAAAGGAGTGGGTGGTAATCCGTAGGTGCAAGACCTGGCGAATATGGAGGATGGGGTAAAACCGCAGATCCAAGTTCCGCCAATGTGTCCTGGGTTACCCTTGCAACATGCGGTCGCGCGTTGTCATGAAGAAGAAGGACTTCGTCCAGCTTCGGCGAAGTTTCGCGACTTCAGCTGGAAGCCATCGTGGTTGTGCAGTACAGCGCAGGGTCAACCGTCACGTTCGAACATTTTCGGGATTTTTGCGACCCCCTAGCTCTCGAGGGGGTCCAGTTGCGACCCCCTGTTTTTGTTAATAAGAGTGCTAGACATGAATCCGTTGCGCCAGAACCGCGCAGACAGCGTCTGCGTTGCGGCGTCAGCTCCGTGCCCCATTTCGAACAGAATATCTCCAGTTGCGAGGGAACAGGCCAACGGGACACCATGGCCTAGTGAATGACATCCCTCCTGACTACAGCACAGATGCTAGCTGCAAGGACACAAACGGAGTGGCTTTACAGGAGCTCGAAAAATAAAATAGGTCAAAAGATGTGTTGATTCAGAGACAAGTTTGAAGCAGTCAAACGCTGCACGTAGCCTCCATTCACTCCTTATTCTCAGCTCTCATTCACTTGCCCACTAGCGTTGCAACTTGAGCATCTTCGCCAGAACCTGGAAAACAAGTGCTCTGTTTAACAAATCAGTGAGTAGCATTGAACAAATATCGAAAAGAAGGCACAAATCTCTCGTACAGTGTGGGGAACGAAGCACAGTTTTGCGCGCACGTAATTCTTCGCCACCCGTAGACACACGAGACTGACTAACAAACAGGATTTTTGACTGGAAGAATTTAGCTTGGCACAGAAATCCTGCTACTCTCAAGAGAAAAGGTTTTTCAAACTGTTCAGAGTTCTTTGAGGGTTTCTCAGTAGAACAAACTTTTGCACTTTTAGTTTTTTTTTAATCCACCAGTTAGTTTTTTTTAGGCCGATTCTCTATCGGAGTTGGCTGACCCTGTCAATCCTGGTCGAGTGATGTATACCAGTGGACAGGTATGATTTTCAGTTCTAACGTCGTCAGTGCATGTGCAGTACATTCGGTAAAGAAGTTCATAAAACATGCGACTTGAAGCGATTGCCATTCTCTTCGGAACTCGCACTCCATTTGCCGTTGAAAGTAGTGATACCGCAGTAATCGCCGACTTGTTGCGATTTGGTGAACGAATTCCGCACCCTTTTGCACCTTGATCTGCTTACAGCTGTTTAACGTCGTTTTTCTTTTATATGGCCTTACATTTTTTTGATTCGTCTCATTGACGATCACGCTGGATATTTTGCCCCTCACGTTAGCAGGTGGTGAAGATTCAAAAATAGACGTGATGGAAATATCCCTCGATTACATTGACAGCATGAATAGCCCCGCGCATTTTTTTATTTTCAAAGAAGGTCAAGCATGTTTTTCTTATCGAATTTGGCCACCGTAACGTAAGTTACCACTAAACCTCGCCATTGTGTAATGCGCTTTCTCGAAACTCGAATTCCAAACCAAAATATGACGAAGTTGGTTGATTCATGTATTAGGCTGTCCAGAAATTATTCTCAGGTTGTGCCCATGTTTTTAGAACGACAAATCCCGGCTAGCGAAAAGTTTTTTGATAAGACCATGATGAAGCAAAATATTAGGTCGTGAAGAAAGTTCTTGCGCTTTTCGACCTTGATTTTCAAATGCCTGTATCTCGGCTCATTCGAAACCTTTTTGATTGGAGTAAAGACTGTTAGAATCCACAAACCTCTGCCAATAATAGCTGCGTTGAATCAGCCCGGTAGTGCAGAATACTGGAGCTCTAGAGACGATGAACCCGGCGGAGGTCGTTTCCGCATCATGTTGGTTTTTGAAGCATAACTCTTTGGAGAAGCTATCCAGGTAGTCGAGAAAGTGACAAATTATAGGCAAAAGGTCTACCGAGTAGGATGTGCCAGAGTTCTAGGAGTAGTTTGACACATTATCAGGAGTACTTTTTCCACATTAACAGATCCACCTGGTTACGAAAAGCTAGACCAGCCGCTGACCTTATGAAAGTCACCTCAACCTTCCTTCAGTGAAGTTTCACTTTTGCAAAGTTTGTAGAGCCTGATCGCTTCACCAAAGGTTCGTATTCTGTAGCAAAGAATCCGTTCTTTGTCGTGCGTCGCAAATGATCAAAAAGTCAGGTCGTTTTCATGGCATGAAACAAGCTAGAACGCGGCGAACGACCCTTCAAAATGGTGAGCTGTCGCGGCACGCCCTATTTGAATTTTTGGGACTTTCCAGCTCTTCCCGTACAACAAGAAAACACAATGCAAGTGCGATTAGTTTAGGAGGAACCCTCTCAATAGATTTGTGCAAACGTGCTTCAACCAGAACGTTCGACTAATCGTTGGCGTTGTCCAATCTCCGATCACCACCCTCACAATCTTTAGGGCTCTCGCTATTCTTACAAAAGCTTTTTGAACAATTGCTTCAGACCATATTTATTGCGAATCTCAGCCAAGTGCGTCTATAATATCTTGACCTGCTTCCTCTCCATACTGGCCTGCTTTGAGCTAGAAAAAGGAAATCATGCAAATTTGCTCTTGGAGTATGCCGTATGCCAAAAAATGGCAACTTTCTAATTCGTAAAAAATAAAACGTTCGAAAACGAAACACCGAAAAGCTCAAGAACTTTCTTCACGACCTAATATTTTTCGACAAACAGGTGACGACCAGTGTCGGGTTCATATACACTTCTGTTCGTGTTGTCAGTTCTATAATATTGTCCACGTAGCAAAAACTCCTGATACAGTAGCGGTCAAAAGTTTGGAAACTTTTTTATTTTTGATCTAGCGTAGCCAATAGACAATGAAATTGCCCCGAATTCACATATTATATTCAGAATCAAGTGTAGATTACGATGGGTAACATGATTTTTTGAAAACTGAAATCGCATTTGAAAAATACGAATTTTTATAAGAAATGGCGCGTCAAAAGTTTGGAAACTTCCGAATTCCAAAGCGAATTCGGCAAAATAGCTCTCAAATCCACATGATAAATTAGTTATTTGATGAGTAGCTTTGAATTTCTATTACTTTTTTTGTAATGACATGCTTATACGATCAATAACGCTAGAAACATCCGATAATATTGCTTCCGTAGAGACTGAACTACTAAGAATCAGTTTCAATTTCGTATTCCGGATTGTAGGGTTTAAAAAAGACCTCCCATGGAAAAACTGCTTTCTTTGCATATGAATTCATTTTGAAATTACACATTGCTCAATGGTTGAACTAAAATTAACAGAAACAAGTGAACATTGAAGAGTAGGAATCATAATGATGAGGGAAACAAAAAGTTTCCAAACTTTTGACGCGCCATTACTTGAAAAAATCTTATTTCTCAAACATGATTATAGGTTTTTGGAAATTGTTCTTCCCGTCGTATTCTGAACTCATTTCGTATGGAATATCTGAGGGCCAATTTCGTT